CATACGAAGTTTAAGGTGTTTTTTCCAGTTCTATGAAGATCATTGGTAGCTTAATGGGGACAGCATTGAATCTGTAAATTACTTTGAGCAGTACGGCCATTTTCATCATATTGATTCTTCCTAACCATGAACATGGAATGTTTTTCCATCTGTTTGTGTCTTCTCTTATTTCGTTGAGCAGTGGTTTGTAGTTCTCCTTGAAGAGGTCCTTTACATTCTTTGTTAATTGTGTTCCTAGGTATTTTATTCTCTTTGTAGCAATTGTGAATGGGAATTCACTCTTGATTTGGCTCTTTAAGTCTGTTATTGGTGTATAGGAATGCTTGTGATTTTTGTACATTGATTTCATATCCTCAGACTTTGCTGAAGTTGCTTTTCAGTTTAAGGAGGTTTTGGGCTGAGATGATGGGGTCTTCTAAATATACCAACATATTTTTTTAGGGATGTAGGAGATACTTTTATAAATTTATAATGTACCACTTTGAGGACTCTCGGAAATAAATGGGGTGGATTTCGAGGATGTAATAAAGTCGTGTAATATGATGATCAGGTTATCATGCTGGCAGTTGTTTATGTTAAATTCTTCACCCTCAAGATTGCCATCTTTAGGGCTGTCAAGGAACCTGATCCTTCCTTTTGACCCACATCCCTTTGGGGCAACATTGACAATAGACTATTGAGCCAGATGGTCCAGAGACTGGGCTTGCAATCATGGTACTATATTCTTATAGTCATCTGTGATTAGAAATGAACGACTAATGTTAAAATAATGACAAGAATCAGAGCACTATTTCAGCAGTTGTTTCATTGAAACTGGCAGAAATTTAAATTATATTATGTATTTTAGTGAATACTTTTTAAATCAATCAGTACATAGTGTCTCTACTCATCTTAATATACCAGACAGACCATGCAAGTTCCCTCCAATTATGTTTTCCTTGTTTGGGAGGCACTGAGAGCCCATATTACCCTACCTCCTGTGTACCTCCAGGGTGTATCCTGCTGTCCTATCTCTAGCTGGGCCACTGATGGGTACTTTCCCATATGCAGGCTTGCCAGTAACATGAGATTGCCTGGCATAAGAGTTCTACCCAACAGGGGTGTCCTATCCTGGGTAGTGATGAAATTAAACTCTTTGAGGAATTTGAATGTAAGTCATCTAGTAGACAGAGACTGAAGAAAGCAATTTAGCATAGAAATGAAGAGACATAGAGGAAGTTAGCAGAAGTCATGAGGAAAGAGGAGGAGGTTTAGAGGTAAATCAGAAAATAATGATGTATGAAGAGGCAGGTCGATACAGGAGATAGGAGGTGCTGAGTCAAAAACCATGGAGTCTGCTTGAATTAAGTCACTAGTGTATCTTCAGCCATGAATGGCCTTCCAGCTCTCTTTGTGCCGTGCAGGAGTGGTTTTATTTACTTTTTTAACTTTCTATATATCTTCATACTAAGCCTTATCACTTGAAACCTAAGTGTGCCTCTCTGTTTCTTCAAAGCTAAATGAACCTAACTCCCTTCGTTCCAGCACCAATTTCATAAACCAACTATGTGGGTTTAATTCTCATGTGGGACAAGTTGGCTTTGCAAGGGTATGTGATCATCCTCTCCAACACCTAACAGCTATGAAACACATGTCAATTGTTATTAAAAAGGTGAGTTTGAGAGTGTGTAAGAACTACTGAGGCCAGGTGCGGTGGCTCACACCTGTAATACCAGCACTTTGGGAGGCCAAGGCAGGCAGGTCATGAGATCAAGAGATGGAGACCATCCTGGCTAACAGTGAAACTCCATCTCTTACTAAGAATACAATAAAAATTAGCTGGATGTGGTAGTACATGCCTGTAGTCCCAGCTACTCGGGAGGCTGAGGCAGGAGAATTGCTTGAACCTGGGAGGCAGAGGTTGCAGTGAGCTGAGATCACACCACTGCACTCTAGCCTGGGTAACAGAGTGAGACTCTGTCTTAAAAAAAAAAAATACTGAAAATCCGTCATCAATGTTGGAAAACAAATCAAAGCTGAAGACTATTTATAGTGGATGAATAATATTAGCATTTTTTTTTTTTTTGACATGGAGTCTTGCTCTGCTACCCGGCCTGGAGTGTGCAGTGGTGCAATCTGGGCTCAATGCAACCTCCGCCTCCCAGGTTCAAGCGATTCTCCTGCCTCAGCCTCCAGAGTATCTGGGATTACAGGCATCTGCCACCATGCCAGGCTAATTTTTGTGTATTTTGTATGTTCACAAAGCTGATCTCGAACTCCTGACCTCAGGTGATCTGCCTTCCTTAGCCTCCCAAAGTGTTTGGATTATAGGCATTGCCACAGTGCCCAGCAATATTAACTGTTTAACATGAAAAACTAACCCTTCTCCCACTTTTAAATATAAATTACTAGAGAAAACTAGATAATAAATAAATACATAGTTGAACCATATATTTAAATGTAATTATTTCTACCATTCACTGGGTAAATCTCCTGTCTCCTATAATCTATTGTCCTAACCCAATCAGGATCATGTGGAGTTTGGAAGAATTTGCATTCCTGAAATAATGCAAGTGCTGTTACCAGAAGACCAGCAAGATATGTGTAACAAAAATGATATATAACATATGCATAACTAGGTAGAAGAGGGCTATATCAATATAGTTGATAAAATATTACATTCCAGCAAAATCCCTAAAGATGATAGAGCAACATGAATAATATTACAAAATACTGTTACAAAACAGTGTTAAGTCAGAAGGCAATGGGGTTGAAGATATAACATGATTAAAACTTCAGAATATCAAAAAATAAAAAACTTTTTGCCTTATGATGGTGGAATAATGTATTATATTAAAATCATTAGCATATTTATAAGAATATTTTACAATGAACAAAATACTTCATTTAAAAGACAACTTATTCTGCTTTTAAGTAGGGAATTCCATTTAAAAAAATATGGGAATCTTCTCTTCAAGTAACTGTTTATTGGAAACTGGGAACTATATGAGAGCTGTGATTCTTTCACTTGGCTGTTTACTGTTCTTCCCTCAGGTTGAAGAGCTTGATGACCATGTGAAGCTCCATTACTGTTACTGCAGAAACACTGCCAGTTTGAAATAACTGCTACCATAAGCCATCACTCACCACTGTTACCAAAATCTGAGTAACTTAGGGGGTCCGAAGGGAGGTCCCACCTTTCCCAGAGCTAGAGTCCAAAGACCCTTTCAAGGCTCTGTTTGCCACAGTTTTGAACCTGGTTGGAACTTCAGAGTGTAGGGAAGGCCACTCCTCTCCCCAGTACTATACTCAGTCTAGGGCAGACTTGGATAGAAGCATGTGAAAACAACAACAGCAGAATACAACTGCTTGAATTCCTGCGTAGTTCTCCTTGGTCTGCTGCATCAACACACATATACGCGTGCACATACACACACACACACACACACACACACACACACACGAACATCTATTTTCCCTGTGACATGTGACTACCATTCATTTTTTCAAAGGAAATAATTGACCATTTTACTCTTTTGTGAGCATAAAGAGGATAGGCCAGAAGAAACAATTGTGATTATAATGACATTTGTGGATGTCAAAGATTTGGAGGAGAGGCTGTCTCTGCTGAGCTTTTGACACTGAACATATGTTAATTTACAATTGGGGGTGTGTTTGGGGGGTTATATTATGCAATAACTGTTAAGGAATGAACAAATTGGAAAGAAGCAGATTTGGTTTGTGCAAAGATACTTCTAATTACAGTAATACATGGAACCTGACTATCCTCTATGCCTGATCATCACACAGCTCAATATTTGCAAATATGTTGAAACATGTATTATTTTTATCATATCAGTACATTCTATACCAATCCATCTGCCTAACTTTGTGTCTGCATAGATTAATATATTATTCCAGGTCATGTGGTCCCCTGTTCACATATCATAGTTCATCCAGATACTACTCTTACAGCCTAAATACCAGTAGGGTGACCAACTATCCTAGTTTGTCTGAGACTGAGGGATTTCCTGGAATGTGTGACCATCAGTGACCGGGACAGTCCTGAAGAAACCAAGATGAGTTAGTGATGCTAATCTCCAGGCTGCTGTGAAGCCTTACCAACTTTATTCCCACCCATCCTAAAATGGCCTTCAAGAATTCTTTTTATCTTAAAGTTAATACCTACTCAGTTTCAGTTTATTTAACACAAGAGCAGAAAATCAAACACTGCATGTTCTCATTCATAGGCGGGTGTTGAACAATGAGAACACATGGACACAGGGAGGGGAGCATTACACATTGGGGTCTGTTGGGGGGAAATAGGGGAGGGACAGTGAGGGGTGGGGAGTTGGGGAGGGATATAGGGGTGGGGAGTTGGGGAGTGAGGGGTGGGGAGTTGGGGAGAAATGCCAGATATAGGTGAGGGGGAGGAAGGCAGCAAATCACACTGCCATGTGTGTACCTATGCAACTATCTTGCATGTTCTTCACATGTACCCCCAAACCTAAAATGCAATTTAAAAAAAAAGGAAAAAAAATATTCTTTATTGGGAGATGGTTTGCAAGTTTCTTTAGACTAGGACCCACATCTTTTTAACAGCAGAGTGTTAATTATTAGGAAATAAAGTGGACCTAAGAATTTTAAAAATTTACTTAAATTGTTTTAAACATTATGCAAGCTTCCTTTGGGTTGAATTAAGTCAAGCAATGAACCTTAATGGTTATGAATGTGGGTTTTGTTTTGGGATAGGCTTGGGTTCAAATTCCCACCCTGACAGTTATTGATTATGTGACATTGGGCAAATTAATTAATCTCACTGAGCCTCAATTTCTTAAATGTGTAAAATGGGAATAAAAATAATACACACTCCCAGGAATATTGTAGGCATTAAACAAAATAATGGCTAAATGTGTAGTATTTTGTGTAGCACATAGCATACAACTTGTTATTATGTGGTATTTGTTAATAAATGATTACAAATCAATTAATTGTATTCTTCCATGCATTGTTTCTTCCAGAGAGTTTATGTCATCCCAGGAAAAAGCAGTTATTAAAACTACTGATGATTATTTGCAGCCTCAGTTTGGCCCCAACAGACTTGTGCATTCAGCAGCAGTATCAGAAGGGTCAGGACTTCAAGACTGCTCTACACATCAAACAGCATCAGATCACAGCCATGATGAAATATCAGACCTACAGAGCTACAAATCAAACAGTAAAAACAATTCTTGTTTTATATCAGCATCCAAGAGAAACAGACCTGTCAGTGCTCCAGTGGGTCAATTGAGGTAATCAAAGCTATTCTCTGTTCTTTTTAACCTGCTGTTGAAGTTCTTTCCTTTGAATAGAATTTATAATATTTCAATTGACTATCTCAGACATTAAAATATAACACAGCTCTAGAGTTTTTTGTTTTGTTTTGTTTTTTTCTTTGAAAGCACCAGAGTAGAGTGTTGTTAATTACACTATGGGAAATACGAGATACACTTCAACCTCAGTAATCAGAAACTCTGAAAAGAATATTTGAAGCAGAATCAGACTAGGATCATGAAATCTTTTTGCTTACACGATACTTATTTAAAGATAAAAATACTTTCTTTTGATATTTAACCAATAGTTTGAAACAGAATCGAGTAAAATGAAATTATTATAAAACTGTTTTGTAAATATGTTTTCACATCAGGATTGTTATCATAAACTGTTAACAAAAGAGTTCATAGACAGAAGAAAACATTGGTAAAAACAAAAATAAAGCCAAGAAACTAATACCTCACTATTTTCAGATGTTTGAATATGTGGATATGTTGTGTTTTTAATTTATGTGACATTTTTATTTTAAAATGTTTACTTTGCTTCTGTGTCATTATGAATTAACTTGGTTAGAGAATTATGAAGAAAATTTGATGTGTTAGTCAGTTTACCACATACTTTTGCTGAGAAAAATCATAAAGATCAAAAATTAGTTTTGTGCAAATATGAAACTTAGAAATCTGCACTTTTACTACTTCCAAACAATTTGAAATTAGAGCAATACAATTAACCTTGGAATAAAATTTTAAAATAAAATCTTTTTGAATTTCAAATCATTTTTCAAAATATTAAAGAACTTTGATCAACATGAAAACTTGGGTAGAATCTTAGCCATTTGCTGTTTCATGATGTTAAGACCATATTACTATTTTTTGCTATCAGAACATAACATGTGTATAGAATTTTTAGTTGTATATTTTACATATATATATATTTTTTTAAAGGAGTGTTGTGGTTTATAAGTAAAATGATAAAAATTCATTTATTCTGATATATATGTTTTATGTAAGCAGTTTAGGCAAGCACTGTTTTAAATTTTTTTGAATATTTAAATAGTGACAGTGTTACTCTGTAACGACAATCTTATCCTATAAACAGTTTTGTTGGGAATACTTATATACATAGCAACAATCTTTAATTCTTATATCTGTTTAAAAAAATCCAGGATAAAATTTATTTAAAAGTTTTACATGTATCAATTTTTCTGTTTTTCTTTTTCTTCAGGGTTGCAGAATTCTCTTCTTTAAAATTTCGGTCAGCCGAGAATTGGCAGAGATTGCCTCAAAGACACAAACTTCAACCAAGAGTGATTAAAGTAACAGCTTACAAAAATGGATCTAGAACAGTCTTTGCCAAAGTTACTGTACCAACCATCACCTTGGTAACTAGTGTTCCAAAGTTTTCTGTGCTTTATTTTTTTCCCTCCTCTCTTTAAAATATAAAAAGTGATAAACTTATTGTTAATATTTTCTTTTTAAGAATCTGAATCTGCAGATTGCTTATATATACATAGATTCCATAGGAATTTTACTCCTTTTTTAAAACAAATTTAATATATAGTGTATTTAATTAAACAAATACAATGGCATTATACCTTTATTAAAATGACAGATCACTTAAAGATTAAAATTAGTCAGTAATAAGATATGCTTCATGCTGTGACTTACCTTTTATTTCTGTATTTTCAACTGCTAGAAAATAACTGTATTGGTCAAGTTACTAAACTTGGCAAGTGACTCAATTGGGTTTCTGTTCTGATCATTAGAATGTTTTGTTTTGAGGGAAATATATTACTTTCTTTGTCATAAATCACTTTGTCTTACTTCTTGCTTTCCTCTAGCTGCTGAAAGAGTGCACAGAAAAGCTGAATCTGAACATGGCTGCAAGACGAGTGTTCTTGGCAGACGGCAAGGAAGCCCTCAAACCTGAAGACATACCCCATGAAGCCGATGTTTATGTTTCAACGGGAGAGCCCTTTTTAGATCCATTCAAAAAAATTAAAGGTAAAAAAGATTTTAAAAAGACCCTACCCCAATACATAGTAAATTGCTTAAGGGATGCAATTAAAAAATGATTTTCATCCTGTCTTTTTTGCATGGTTTAACAAAACTAATGTTTACGCATTTACAGCTCAGTAAGAGGATAATGTGCTTAATGAAAGAAAAATCCACTGACAGCCACGTTTATTGCCCTTCATTAGCATTGGTGCTTAATTTAATATAGATCTGAATAGACATTAGGGAGCCTGCAGGAGGTTAAATGGTGAAAATATAATAAATTAAATCAGAGATTATTGAATTTACTGTTTAGTTTCTGTGACACTCAACAGACATAATTCATTAGACTTATCTCAGAAAATAGTTCAAAGTTTCAACTATCATTTATTCATTTACACTCTTGATCTTTTTTCAGATGGTATCAACATGATTATGAAAATGTGGCCAATAATGAACATATATTTCTTACATACATATGATTCTCCTAATAACATTTATCATAATAAATGTTCCAGCTTATTTATTTTTTACCTTAAAATATAATCCTACACACATTTTCAGATAAGGTTTTCCAAAAAGTTAATTGCTTCCAACATTTCAGAAATGTGGAGATTTTCTAAAATTTAAAACAAAATAGCATTTTTCTTTCTTCAGTGGAAAGGAATACATTTTAAGAGTGAAATAAAAGCACTACTCTCTAAGAATATTCTCCCAAGCATGTTGTAGCCGGAGTTTGATATCAAGTGCTATATATGGTAATCGCATTTAAATAACATGAGGAATAAGGATTTTGCCATAAAAATTCAGTATGTCTAACTGCTGTACTTTCCTATGCTTTTTATACTTTATTAGAAGTAATTTTTTCTGCAACTTCTCTAAAGCTAGTGAATCAAAGGCAAGTCTAGGCAGTAATTGCATAAGTAGAAGGAAAGTAATTCTGGAGTTCATTACAGATGAGGTGATGAAAATCTTTCTTCTGTTAATGTTATTGTATAAAATCGTACTAGGATTTGTATCTTTTTAATAATATTTGATCTTCAGGAAATAAGCAATTTCTTGAATTCAGTAGAAAATATAAGATAATTTGGTTCTTGTAAAGAAACTTGTTGCTGTAATGCTCATTGAAAATTACCTATGTGATCGTGTAGACTCGTGTATTTTTCACATTTTGCTTTAAGTTTAAAATATGGCTGGCTGCCTTAATTTTATATTCATCGAATCACTTGCTTATATAAAAACATGAGTCTTAGTTGGCAAATACTTTTCTGTGACTTTAAAAAAATTCATATATATATATGTAAATATTGCTTCATTAAGATCTTTGATTATTGTTATTACTAAGAAATGCTTGCCTTTCATAATGGTATTGTAGAAGAGACATATAAAAATTATTTATAGCTAAGCTACGATGAAAATCTCCTGGACATGTAGGCCTAAAATAATAATGTCACACACATGACTGAGCTTGGTGGATGATTTTTAAATGTACGAACTAATTTCCTCCTACTTTTTGTTTTCTCTTTTATCCTTTTCAAAAGCCAAGTCCAGAACAAAAAACTTCTCTGCTTTGTCTGCATATCTTTGGCTGTGTTTCATTGTGACATGCACTGCTGTTCTTTTAGCACCAAAATGTTGGCACACACTCCTGAAAATTTCACACCATCTCTTGCTGGATCAGCAAGCTTAACCCACCAAAATCTGGTGTTGTGCAATGGTTTTTGACTGATAATCAATCTTTATGCTGCTCGACAGTTGTTGCTGGGACACGGAGTAGAGCAGGTGGCAGATGTGCCTTGTCTTTTGAGAAAAGAAATTGTAGGTGAGCTTGGACACAGACTAGCATATCGCATGTCCATTAAAAAGAGTTAGGATAAGTATAATGGGGAAAAGCCATTTATTTAAGTTAAGCTTATAGATAAGCGTAAACAACTATATTTGGTTTCTTTCACAATGTTAAGAATATCAATGTAAATATATATATATATTTATATATGAAAGGTAATATTTAACTTAACATGATATATTACGTATCACTCACATACTCACATACACTTTTTCAAACCACCTAAATCAGCTTGAAGACTACCTTTCTGTCATCTGTTTTATAGATAAATCGATAGTTTTTCAACTAGCTACAAGTGTACCATTAAAATAAAAACATATATTAATAACTTTGAAAGTGGTAGATGAACTTAAAGAGACATGATCAGAAGTGGAAAATTGAACATGTTAAAGGTAAATGGGAAAATCAGTTGGCAGAATTGAGTGTTACTGATGTATCTTTCTAAATGAGCATGAATATTTTGTATACAATTGGTAACTGGTCATTATTTTAATTTGCAGGTTTTTATTCATTCAACAAACATTTATTGAGAGTCTATATGTGCTAGATACTAGACCAGGTCAGAGAAAGAGAAAAGCAGGAGCTCATAGTCTGATTTCTTTTTTTATCATTATTTCTTCAACTCTGATTTAAATTCAATTTAATGCAATTCAATCAAAATTTAAATCAATACATAGTTATTTGGTACCTACTATGTGTGCCCCAGAGTAGGGATAGAAGTCCTGGCCTTTACGGAACTTAAACTCAGTAGATAAGTTATAAATCCTTCAAACTGAGAACACTATTTTACAACATAAATCAAATGGTTCTTATTTTATTTCTGGTATTGGAAGGCTAAACAAGTCAGTATATATTTTGGCAATTACCTTTCAATACTTCATTGGTTTTTCTTTTTCACTGGAAAAGCAATGTAGATAGAGAAAATTGCCTAGGAACTATTTCCAGATTTACTAAGAGAGAAAAAATCCTACAGAACATCTCTGATATTTTAACTATTTTTCCATGCCTTTTGAGCATCACTGTTGACAACCAGTGGCATTGAATCTAATAGAAAGCCAGAGAGCTATTCATCACATACCTTGAAACACAAAGCTTTCATATGGAGGTCAGGCCAAGGTCAAGCCTGACATGAAGCATTCCTTGTTGAAATGCAGTATTAGAATAATTCTTACATTTTAAAGTTGAATACCTAATCAGAAACATTAATTGTATATGGAAAAGATCAGGAAAATATAAATATTTCATATAAATACTGTTGATAATGATGCCTTAAGAGGTATTGTACTTCTGGCATTTAAAGTTTCTAACATTTGTTAATAATTCATTGAAATTATGAATTGTTTGAAAAGGCATATTAGTTTTCTCATTCATGACCATGTGGTTTAGCTTTTATTCACAATTTCCTGAATCTTCTGCTTAATTACGACACAGTGAAAATTCTTGGATCAGATCCATGGGGTTTATAAGAATTCAGCTCCTTTATAACTGCTAGGAGCTGTAAGTAATGCAAACATAGCATAATAAATGGTTTGGGTCCCGTGATTGCCTGAATATCTTAAATAAGATGAGGGAAAACACTGTTTAGACCTGATTCATTAGGTCCAAGTTCTATCATACTGTCTTTAGAATTTTTTAGTTTTGTATTTCCACTCTCTCCAATATGTCCTATTCTATTACTGGGCTTTCAGAATTATCATTTGCAGTGATTCATTTCAGTCCTGAGCTTTGTTAACCAGAAGTGAAACTTGATGTTATGAATAAAATTGTAAATCTTTTATATCCTGTATTGTGAATATGTAGTCACAAAAAAAAAAATGTGTGAAAGGAGTTCTTGATATTACACCTAATACTAAATTTAAGCCCGGAGATTTTCTACTAACTGCCATGTGATCTACAAAATGAAATAATTTGCTGTGACAGCTTGTGATTGACAAGGATATGTGTGAGCACGTTTAAAATAGGCCATCTTTTCATGTAGAAGTGTCAGTGAAATGATGGATTCTCATCATTTTAATTATTGATGATTTGGAAATACTTCAATTCCATGACATACAAGACACATTCTAAATAGCAGCATAACACTTTTTCTCATATCTGCGTCAACAATGAAATGTTCTGTCATATTTTGTTTTTCAAAAAACAAAGACATTAGTTTAATGAACCTGGATTCATGCATTATATTGTCTTCCATTATATGTCTACTGAATTTGTTGATTTTTAAATTGTTATGTTAAAAGCACAAGTTTCAGTAAGTGACCCACTACTCACATCACATCATATCTTAATATTTCTGCTGCTAGATCTCAAGACAGAATGCTAAAGTGCTACCTACACCAATGGCTGCTTTAGTCTTGCCAAAGCTGATACCAGCCTGTGTGATACTCATCTGTAGGGCAACCACTACTTAATTCATCAGCTACAGTTGTGAGGACTGGTTTTCCCAAATTCCGTTTTATCTTTTAGTTTAAAGAGTATATTTATTAGGTGAGATCATTTGTACATTTTAACTTTCACTTCTCTGTATATATTCAAAAGGAGGAAGATGGCATTATATGGAGAAAAATACTACCATTTTCTTCTGAGATCGCATATGATTCTTACATTTCTATAAGTGAGGGCAAAACTATAGGAAAATATTTTATGTATTTTCTATTCCAAAGTTTTAAATCTGCAAATGAGAGACTAGAATATCCTTACTTATAAAATGGACGTGGATTGGAAGACAATTATAAGAGATGGACCAAAAATGTGTTCTTAGCCAGTAGGAAAATCTGTAGCTTGCATGTGGTTGGCAGCATCTCCTTATATTGTCAAATATCAGATCATTAAAAAAACACCAAATTATTAATTTTTTTATTGCATTTTAGGTTTGGGGGTACATGTGAAGAACATGCAAGATTGTTACATAGGTACACACATGGCAGTGTGATTTGCTGCCTTCCTCCCCCTCACCTATATCTGGCATTTCTCCCCATGGTATCTCTCCCCAACTCCCCACCCACCTCTGTCCCTCCCCTGTTTTCCCCCAACAGATCCTAGTGTGTGATGCTCCCCTCCCTTTGTCCATGTGTTCTCATTGTTCAACACCCACCTATGAGTGAGAGCATGCGGTGTTTGATTTTCTGCTCTTGTGTCAGTTTGCTGAGAATGATGGTTTCCAGGT